GCAGACCACCTTCTTCTAGGATGGGGTTCAAACATAACTTGCTGTTTTGCAGAACAGACTTGAAATTAACCAGTGCCTTGTATTCTTCTTGAAAGACTTCTTGCTGCGCCTCTTCGATGACGTCAGTCTCTGCATCTGAGATCTCTTGACTGGTACATTTTCCAGAACTCCTCTCTTCTGGCAGCATTCAGCAGTTGTTCATGAATTGATGTACCCATGCTCTAACTCTCAATAATCTGGTCCAGCTTGAATATCTGCTGGGGTGTAAATGCCAAGTCACTCGCGGGGTCAGTGAGAACAGTACTGATTCTTTGTCTGGCACATTGAATGTTGTCCTCACTTTCTTACAGACCTCTAGTGTTGCTTCAGGAGTTACATCAATCTCTGTTTTTGGCCACGTGTCTTCTGGCATGCTCAGGAACTTCCCACCCTTCCACCACATTTCATTTCTTTTTGCTCAGTCACAGACATTCCCATGGTTAGCAGGTCAGCAGGGTTCTGGTGTGCGCTAACATGACGCCACTGAGTAGGACGGCTTGAGTCATGTATTTATCCTATCCGATTCGCTATCAATGGTCTGAAACTGTGACTGGGTATTTGTATCCACCACAGCACATTCATGCTGTCACTCCAGAATGCAAGTAGGTTCTGGTCAATCTTAAGAACCTTGGCTATGGACAGGGCCAATCTTAATCCCAAAACAGGTCCCATAAGTTTGAGTCTTGGAATGCTTGTAGCTGATAGCAGTGCCACTCCTGTCTTGGAGGCCACTGGGCTGCTAGATACTGTACCACCCTTGTACTTGTACCTAACATAGGTTGCTGCACCATACGCATCCGCTGATGCATCTGTGAAGGTGTGCAAGGTAACTGTTTCAACATCCGAGTTTAACTGCAGGCAATGTGGGACTTGCACTTCTGACAACTCTGTGTGCTCTTCAAACAACTTCTTGGCCTGTCTAGCTTGGATTTGGTCATCCCATTTGGGTCTTCCGAATCTAATCCTGAGGTCCACATCTCTTGCAGTAGAATCTTTGCCTGGATCATGTATGGTGCCAGAAACCCCATAGGGTCAAACAGCATGGCTATCTTACGCAGGAAATTTTGGTTGGTCAACTGGAACATCTCATCTGGCGGATTCACTCTGTAAGTGAAAACATTTTCCATAATCAACCACAACACACCAAGAATCTTCATTGACAGCAAATTTCCTTTGTTTAAGTCCACTTCTGCAGCCCTGTCTTCTTCAGGTATCTTCTTAAGTACTTGCTCTGAGTTGGAAAGCCACTTTCTGACATGCATACCAGCGGACCCCCACAGTGCTGATAGTTCCTCGTAAAGTTTTATGCACTCCTCTTTGCTAGGGGAAGAGTCCATGCTGTCATTCATGTATGTAGACTCCAAGATTGTCTCCGCAGCTTTTGGGTAGTACTCTTGGTTTTCTCTTGCATGCTTCTGAGAAATTATGCTTGATAAGGGCACGAGTTAACTCCAGAGACAAGACTAATGATCTGATAAACATCTGGTGGTCTTGACTGATCTATGTCCCTCCACAAGAAACAATGGAATGGTCTACTTGAGGGTGATATCCCAATTCTTGCTAAAGGCCTTTAACGTGGAGCTATTTCTAGCATAAGCTTGCCTTTAACAAAGGCCCTCTAGTTCCTCACAGGATGAAATGACTCAAAGGGAATGTACAGATACTTATTTAGTGGTTTTTGATAGGTAGAAAACTGCAGAGTGATAAAATTAGCATCTTTGTAAAGAACTAAATTGAGAAACGAAATACTGCTTTCATCAACAACATAGTACGTAACTGTAAATAATATTGTAAATTATTGTAAATAATATATTTTTAGCACTCTAATTATTTTAAGCTGAGGGCCCCAAGTTTATCAGTAACTTAAGTTACTGTCACGGGTCACCCTCATTAAATAAAGTCTTTCACTTCACTTCACTTCACTTCACTTCAAATAAAGTCTTTCACTTCACTTCACTTCACGTAAGTTTGATACGATCATTCTTGCCATAGAGACAACTAAGAAACTCTAATAGGATGTCTTTTTTTACCGTTTTAATTTTTTTTTTTAATTTTTTATTTTTTAGCACCAATCATATGGCCCCCAAAATATAACAACACGCAACAACATGTGCATTAAAGCGTTTCTTGTTATGTCCATTTACAGCATGTGTCAGCAGTTATTCACTTCCATGGGAAGTCTTCCCTGAAGAACTCTCAGATAGAGACGAAGCGTGTCGGAAGTAAACAAAAAAGCTTACAACTACAAGAAGTCTTCCTTTGTGCTGCTCACTAGGCTTTGTTAAAAAATTTTTTAAAAAATTAAAAAATGCTAATAACCTTCCAAACAGATGGGCTTAGAGGGTAGATCCTAGACTGTAGAGCGTAGTGCATAGATCAAAGAGAGTAGCTGGTAGAACATAGATAGTAGAGTGTAGATGGGCTGAGAGGGTAGATGGTAGAGTGTAGAGCAAGTAGCTGGTAGAACGTAGAGAGTAGACCATAGATGGGCTTTGAGGGTAGATGGTAGATCGTAGAGCATAGAGCGAGTAGCTGGTAGAATGTAGAGAGTAGAGCGTAGATGGGCTTAGAGAGTAGATGGCAGATCGTAGAGCGTAGAGCAAGTAGCTGGTAGAACGTAGAGAATAAAGCATAGATGGGCTTAAAGGGTAGATGGAAGATCAAAGAGCGTACATTGAAGAGAGTAGCTGGTAGAACGTAGAGAGTAGAATGTAGATGGTAGAACAGCGTAGAGCGTAGAGGGTAAACTCAATAAAGAATTGTGCATTGAAGATTATTAAAATACTGTAAACCATAATAACACTAAACGTTCCCCATGCGCTTTAATATTTGGTACAATAACTGTAAGCCTCTACGCCCATACAGAGAACCGTAGAGCGTAGAGCACAGATGGTAGAGGGTAAACTCAATACAGAATTTTAAATTGAAAACGATTAAAACACTGTAAACCATAATAAAACTTTAATATCACTTTAATATATGTGAGATATATGCAAGGAATATGTTACAAATTGAAATAAAATGTTATGAAACAGGCAGGTAACCATAGTAACAACACACAACTACAGTAAAAGCTACGAAGTAGGAGGTAATTTATCTTTCCAACACGTAGCAGACTGGTGATGAAAGCATAGAGTCTCTACAAAAATTTCTATGCCAAATCGAGCTTCATAAAACAGGCGCCAGTTGTGTGTCAGTCACAACAGTTTGTCACATGGGATCGAGGATTCTGTCACATGGAAGATTGAATAACCTTTTGTCACCGAGTTTGTGAGAGATTTTTATAGTTTTTTCGGTTCTAGAGTATAGAGATACCTCCGCTTACATTAGAGTGGCACGAGAAAGGGTAAAAAGTATATTATTTTTCCCAGAAAACACATTCTTTTCAACAGAAAGCTTGAGTTCACTAACAGACTTGGCAGATTGCTTCAATTAAGGTGTAAAAAGTGGGTCTTTTTCTGCGGGGAAGGGGTGGAGTTTTAAAATATGTACCCCTCCGCTCTTTAATCTCCTGTGGAGAGCACAAGGTTCATAAATTGACAACTGTACTGTACTCCCCCTCACCCCAGTTTCCTTCCACCTGCCCTAAAAAACTTGTCTTATGAATGTCATAGTATCCACGCAGTATTCTATGGCTGCGGAAGCCTGGACTGCATCCATACACATGTAGTCCAGCATGGCAGCCATGTTCCTTCCATGTAGGAATAAACTCCCGAATACATACCAGTTCAATGAAAAGACAATTTTGGGGGGAAGGGCCAAAAAGAAGAGAGCGTACAAACAGAAGACTTGTACACACGAAAAATTACAATGGCCTGCCCTTTCCCTCCCTCAGAAAAAGGTAATTTTTCCAGGGAAGGGATTTTTTCCAGGGTACTAGGGAGAGGAGTACCCCCAAAAAACAAGTAAAAAAAATGGGGGGTCTTTGTTTTCAAGTTTTGGGGTCTTAGGGGGTCTTAGGGGTCTTTGGGGTCTTAGGGGGTGTTTGTTTTCAAGACACCCACATGGTAGCCTTTTTATCCTAAATGCTCACTTACATCCTTTTACATATTACAGCCTGTCAATATACACCTTGCACTAGTCAGGGCTCGAAAAAAAACCCGTCCGCTCGTCCAAGACAAGTAGATTTTCCCTTTGGGCAAGTAACTTTCTCTTCTTACTTGCCCCACAGGCAAGGACCCAGTCAAGCCGTTCGCCAACTAAAGTTTTGGTAACGATTTTGAGAAGAAAAGGTAAATTTTAGGCTCAAGGGTAATCAAGTGTTTAGATGAAGCTTGACAAAAATTACAATTTATAGCATTGTTTTATTGATTGTGTGACCCGCGCTCACAGCTCAGAAGTGGTTGCCTAGCATGGGATCAAAATCTGCCCTGATCAAATTTCTTTCCAGGATTAAAAATAGCAGCGTTGGGCACGCCAACGCTGTGTTTATTTCTTAAAATTTGAGCAATTTTCTGGAGCATTTTCCAGTTTCTCTGTACAAAACTTAACTCAACAATGATATAGTAAGGCTGTAGAAATTGTACGTGAAAAGAAGCCGCATATTTCTACTGCGAAAACAAAGCCAGCATTTTTTATGCTAAAATCCAGGTAAATCTCCGTTTCCGGTGAAACATGCAAGTTTGCTACTGATAACATACTTGGGCGCCGCTGCGCAAAATGAAAAGTATTATATTATTAAAAAGAAATGGATAAGTAAGTCATCAAAATACTTTCAGAGTTCCTGGAAGATGACTTAAAATAGTGTTTCTTTCAAAGAAAGGCGTTTTCCCTCGACTGAAACTATTTTTTATTCACCCAAATGAAAAAATATGCTCTCACCAGCTTTTCGAATTTGACACTGTGCCTGTGTCAAAACTGAAGTGGGAAGGCGACTTGTTGTTAATTCTGCATGCTATAAATTTCTCGTGCTTCTCTTCACAATGATTTTGTGGCGCTAGACGAGATGCAGGTGAACATTCATGGAGTCAAACAAGATCTTCAACGAATTGATTGATTCAAGGCTGTACAATAACCAAGATACCCAGCATGTAATACAGGAACTAGGAAGTAAGTACATGAACGAGCAACAACAACTTCACAAACTTTGTTTCTTCAGCTGGGAGGCACTGGCAAAAGATGCTGTGGGACTAAATTTAATTCCTGATGACATTTTTTATCGTGTTCGAAAATTCCAAGGAAAGTTGAATTTGACACCATAAAAACATCTGGTGATGGTAACCACCTCTACAGCTCTGCTTCCCTTATACTTGTTGGGAACAAAGATCTCCATTTGTTAAGGCTTCTCAATGCAGTCGAGCTGTTTTTACACACATCTTACTACACAAGGCATCCAAAATTTCTCTCTTGTATGAAATCGCCCTCTGCTGATGTTCCAGAAGATATCATGTTTACACTGTGCCTCTCTGACACTGGAATGAAGATGTAGGAATGCACAAAATGCAGAGAAGATGTTATTAAAAGGGAAGCAGCAACAGGCTGTAGAGTATCCAAGTGGAGTGTCACGGTACACCTGATGGCACTTGTAACCGTGATAGGAAGATCAATTTTTTTCAGCATTTCCCAAAGATTGCTCAAAAACAAGGCCATTTTTCCATGACGAAATCATCACCCAAGAATGTTCTTTCCATGCCAATCCAGCAGATTCAGAAACGACTACATCATCGTCATCATCAGATAACAAGAAAAATCACAAGGATGAAGTGAAGAAATAGCCCAAAAGGAACATCAGCGATTTTTTCCATGGCTCAGTGCCTAAAAAGAATTGCCAAGAACCACAGGGAAGAAGTTCAACAGAACCTAAATTTGGAAATTGTGACAAGAACAGTCCTTTGTAAAAAGCAAACCCTCAACAGCCACGCCCAGCAAAAGCCAGCCCCTGAATGGTCACCTGTCTAAAACCCTACCTGAAACAACTCTTCCCAAAGAAGAAAATACAAAAAGAACCACAAAAAAGAATTCCGAAAAAAAGAGGAAAAGAGAGTTCAAAGGGTACTGGAAAGAAATGTATCCCTGGCTTGAACATGAAACTTCTAATGATGTAGTGTATTGCATGGTTTGCCGAAATTATCCAAAACTGGCGGACATTACAAGTCCCCTTTACAAAGGTACAGTCGAACTTCGATTATCCGTACCTCAATTATCTGAACTTTTTCTCTAGTCCCAATTTTGTCATGAATATTTATTAGTCATGATCAAGATCCGTAGCAATATTCTTTTTTAAAACTATAGCATTACAAAGTGCAGTCAAGAGCGAGCTTGTTTTGCTTTTAAGAGCAAAAGCAGCACTCGCACGCATTGTAACTAATGAAGAACACTCGAATGAGTTCTGATTAGCTTAGAGTTGAGTGGTTCAAGATATACAGTAGACCATATTGTTTTCCAAACAATTTGTGAAAGTGTTGTTTCATGATTAAATGTTGCTTTATTTAAACAGTTTTGTTCTTCATTAATATTCCCATTTTCGATTATCCGGACCCTCGATTATCCAGACTATTTCATCTAGTCCCAACGAGTCCAGATAATCGAGGTTCGACTGTACTGGTGGCTTTGACAAGTAGGACTTGAAACTCTGAACTCCCACAATGGATCAGCAAACCACCTTAAGTGCATCAACAGAAGTCAAATGGATCAAGGAAAAGCCAATGAGCCACTCTCCAAACTATTTAAAGCTGCTTTCAGTAAATGTGATCAAGAAACGAAAGCCAGATTGAACAAGCTGTTTAATACTGCCTTCTATATTGCAAGTGAGAACTTAGCCTTCAGCAAGTTTAAAGGACTCTGCGATTTGCAGGAAAAGAATGGTCTTGATTTTGGAAGCCAGTACAAGAACAATAAGGTATATAGGGACTTTGTGGAAAACATCGCAGCTGTTGAGAAGGAGCGATCCCAGGGGGAAATTGAAAATGCTAGACTCTTGTGTGTTCTGGCAGATGGCTCGACTGACAAGAGCATTGCTGAGTAGGAGTTGGTCTATGTTCGCTGCACAGGAACCAACGGGCGGCCCTCCACTCACTTTGCAGACCTTGTTCCTGTTACATCTGCTGATGCCCCTGGGGTTACTGCTGCTATTCACAAAGGTCTTCAAACTTTAAGTATAGATGAAACTGTCTTGAAGAAAAAATTGGCCTGCTGTAACTTTGATGGAACTAGTGTCATGATGGGGAAGAAAAGCGGAGTTGCAAAACAGCTTCAAGATATAGCCCAGCATCCAGTTTGTATCGTACACTGTGTGGCACACAATCTCGAGTTGGCTGTGCTAGATGCAATAAAGCAAACGACCTACTTGGCCATATTTGAAGAAACTGTAGTCAGTATTTAAATTCTACTTCTACTCTCCAAAACGTCGCCGTGAAGTTAATGAAATTGCAGCTATACTCAACCAAGATCATGTTTACTACAGTGGATTACAGAAGACAAGGTGGGTAGCCAGCCCATCCAGAGAAACGAGTTCTGTATGACCAAACTTCTTGTGCACCTGGAAGCTGGCTTTCACAGCTGGATGTTTTGAGGCTTCAAAGAGGTCCTAAGTATCAAGCTTTTGAAAAGAGGTACAATGGGCAAACTGGGGTACTCGAGAGTGGCGTCAAAAACAACCACAAATTGAAGCTGTTAAAACCAGGCACCTCGGTAGAGGGTTTCTTTCCTTCTTTCATCTCAGAAGTGATAGCCTATATCAACCAGCAGTTCTTAAGCCTTCATGAAGAGCCGCACAGTTATTTGGCAGTCTTTGATCCTAGGGAGATGCCTCAAGATCAAGCAGACCTCGCTACCTATAGCAATAAAGAAGTCCATCCTCTGGTAGATTACTTTCACCATTTCCTCTCAGATGATGAAAAGCAAAGGATCATCGAGCAATGGCCCATTCTACATCGACTTGCAAGGCAGAAGATGCACAAGACCCTAGATGTCTTTTCCAATATACTAATGTCACCTCCTGATGATGTTAAAGATTGCATTGTTTTGATTGATCTCCTTGTCACTCTGTCACCAAGCACAGCAAAGTGTGAACGTGGATTCTCAACCATGAATCAGTTAAAGAATTCAATGCGCACATTGATGAATCAAGATACCTTGACAGCCTTAATGACGGTCCAATCTTCAAATCTCAATGTGATCTACTTTGTGCTACTTCTGCAATTCAACGCTGGATGAGTAAAGCAAAAACCAAGAGACAGTGCACCTTTAAACTCTGTTAACCATCGTTAGCATGCAAAGTCCTGACTGACTATCACTATGGAATTCTTATTACTGTAACAGGTCACATGATGACATCATTGTGCCATATGCTCTTGTTCAAAAGAATGTATACTTGTTGAGTTTTTTAGTTTGCTTTATAACTGTAAGCCGATTTAAGGTAGGCTTTTTTGTAAAACTCCAAGTGCATCAGTATAATCATACTTCTCATTTTTCTTCAAGGTTGTAGAGAATTATGGAACAAAAACATTAGGGTGCCATAAGGCTTATGTAAGCAGTCAGTTAAAAAGCTAATGATCGTGATAGAGTATCTGACAATGTAGGGTACACACTACTTCAATGTGATTATAACAGTGTTCATCCATGTTAATTATTACAAACCGTACAACTTCATAAAAGCGGAATGAAGAAGTTTAAAGTTGAGGAAGTATTACAATATAATGGCGTAAACATGAAAGTGATCAACACTAAGAGGACTACAGTCGAGATGGGTTTATTACATTTAAACACGCCAGCCCTGTAGTTTGACTTCCATTTTGGGGTCATGAATTATTAATGAGTTTGAAAACTTGGGCAAGTGGGGAAGTGCCCTGGGCAAGCAAAATTTGAGAGTTACTTGCCCAACAGGCAAGGTGGAATTCAAATATTTTTCGAACCCTGCTAGTGCTGCACCTTTAAAGAATACACCATAATTGAAGGCTTTCATGCAAAAAGGGCATATATAGCTTTTTGGGCTGATTTTTATTTTTTGCAGGATTGAGCTAATTTTTGGCAGACTGACCTGTTTTGACATGAAAAGCATCGTTGCATAATTGTTTTTGTTGATTTGCACTTCATTTTCGAGAAATAACATATGCAAAAAAACTCAGTTTTCCAAGGGTATCTTTTGGAGATCTTTTGTTGAACGAAAAACAAAAGAAACCTTTTATTTTGCTAAACAATGAAGTCACCGAAGCGTGGCATTTGCCGCTAGTTTTATTATTCATACAATTAAGTTATTCTCTTACTGTTGCTTTGTTAGCGCAAGTGAATAAGGCGCTGAATGGACTGGATTCAAGTTTGTTTTGTCATGACACCGGTTCGATACGAGGTCAGTCGATTTTTTTCCTGGTACATTTCTCTACTTCTTTCAAAAATAAAAACATCTATTTAACCCATTGACACCTGCATGAAATTGCACGCAACCCACCCCTAAATTACCAGCGATTTTTTAATATTTCAGAATGAGCACGAGCACTAAAAATAAACCATATGCGCAGTAACCACACACACAAGATAACGTTTCAAGACATCATTTATTTTAAGTTGAATAAATGAAGGGCCAAAATATTAAAAAATATCAACAAGTATTTAACTTGATGTTTAAAACTGATGAGAAAACAAGAAATTATCTTATTTCTTTGCTGTGCGAAAAAATGCCTAACAGAAGCCGAGAAAATTGAATATGAAAAAATGAGTTATTATTGACTTCGGAGGACAAATTGAAACCAAATACAACAGAACTTCCATTCTTGTACAATAACGGCTAGCATTTGAGAAAACAACGCAAAATATACGCGAAAGACACATGTAAAAACCAATTTGAAAATAAGAAATCAAATAATTTCTTTGCTGCACAACGAAATATTACAGCACTGCGAAAGAAAGATTAAAGTTGAAAAGACAACAAAAAACAAGCTAATTATTTTGAGATCAATCGTATTTCAACTGTGCTAAATTAGTGGCCACTTAGTTCTTTCTCTGCAGTTCTGTAGTAGCTGAAGAAGACTCCAAATTATACATTTGAATGAAGTGAATAAACTAATAAAAAAAACCACGGAGTTCGCTGTAAATTAAATATGCAGAAATCCAGCATGCAAAAATACCGTTCACTTTAAAACCTAAAATTCCCCAAAACAGGGCACCAAATGAAAGAAATATGAAAGAAGTTCAATAACAATAAATTTTCATTCAAGCTGAGGCGAAGAAATCTATTTAAAAGCAAAAAAATGTTCATAATTTTGCAGACATGCTTTGCTGCATGACCGCATGTTGAAATTAATTCTTCATGCTAAAGCGAAAGCTCTGAGTTTCTCCCAACCACTTTTGCAGTCATTTTATCAGCCATGGCGTTACCAGTCATTCCAAAAGTTGAATTTAACTTTGAAGCAATAATGTACATTACCACTTTTGTTTTCTAAAGTCCAGGAAGCTGCTTTAAGTCCATGATCTGTATTCAAAACTCACTTGAAAGCACACCAATCGTCATGTTTTCGTGGCGGTTGAAGGAAGGAAAATTCTTCACCGAAAAGGTTTGAGGAATCTGTACTCCTTGATCTTCCATTCTGAAGCCACCTAAACATTAATTCGTATTTTTCTTTTCTATTTTAAATCCCAAAGGAGTAATTTATCCATGTTAGGAATGAAAACAAGGCCTTTGAAGTTTGCAGATTTGGCCCGCAGCACGCCATGATAACCTGCACTTTATGAGCGCATGAATTTAAGAAGAAAAACCGTCTTTGTAGGACCCCTAAAGTCCGCTAAGAATATTCTCGGTGAGTCGATTCTGATTGGTTTATTTGTCCTCAAGAACAATAAGACAACCAAAAAGTCTTGAGGGAGGGTAAGAAAGGTTATTGTCCCCACTTGCTTTTTTTTCGGGTGGTTACGGGCAGGAAGGGAAATTGGAGGGGTTTTTTGCACGGGCAGTTACGGTAGGCACAGGAGTCAATGGGTTAAAAAAACCGTGCTGTCGAAGCTACTAAAAGTAACCGTTTAAGTTCACGTGGCGTCAAAATCCACCTTCGAAGGATTACAGTACAGTGGAACCTCGATTTAACAAAGTTGCTGGGGACCGGCCAAATTTGTTCATTAAATCGAGGGTTTGTTATATCGAAAACCTTGATATAACGAATTTGAGGGGAAACGACCAAAATGTTCATTATATCGAGGTCATAGTTAATGATTGATTTGTAACACAGGTGACTTCTGTCACGTAATTCAATGCAATTTTCGTCAGCCAGAAGTGCCGTGTTTTGAGATGCAATCCATTAAGCATGGCAGCTTTCAGTATCAATTACTTTCACTTTTGAGCAGATGCACAGCTTTTGTTTACAAAGAGTAGCGATTAAAAAATGTTGCAACCTAGAGGTTACACAGAAAATTGTCTTTGTAAACAAGGAAACAGGCTTTAGTGTTGTTATGTTGCACAACCCAACATTTCCGGATTTCAAAGAAGATAGAGCAGAAGTTAATTGATGTCGAAATACTATAGTGCCAATGCCTATGACATATAATAAGCCGTTGACTGAAAGGTTGCTGTCTCTTTACCATAAGAATTACAAGGATTTGTTGACTGTTGATATGTTTGGCGTTTATCTTCCATCAGTTGTTGACATTGTAATTCGTTATATCGAGGTAGATTTTACGTCTGGGCTTCCAGATTATGTTCGTTATATCGAAGAATTTGTTATATCGAGGTTCGTTATATCAAGGTTCTATTCCATACATTTTACTGTAACTTTGGCCGGGACATAGAATATCGTTCTTTATATCGAGGACTTCATTAAATAGAGGTTCGTTAAATCAAGGTTCCACAGTACCGCAAAAAAGTAAGTTACCACGGTCTCGCGGGACGAGTGTCGAGAGAAACAAGACGTGTCTCATTTCTCGCGAGTGCACTGGAAGTACCAATACTTCGCATTCATCAGTATTCGAAACCTGTTTTGTGTATTGTATCGTATCATATCGATTAGCGCGGTAGACATGATTTTCGTTCTCATCAGCAATGCATGTGTACCATGTGTGTATTATAAATTCTCAAGCGTCCAATATTGTTTCATATACATCGGCCAAACTTTTTTTATTCCAGCCAGACTTGCTTAACGTTTAGTTTTTGTAAATACATGCACGATAAAAGTTGAAGGTATCTGAATTGTTGGTGACAGTCACTCATGTTTACAAATATGTTTTACAGTTGTATCAATTCTCTTATTGTGTAGATCTTAAAAGAAGGTTTGATTGCAACTGTAAACGTGATTCATACAGTTGATAATCAAAATGTAGTTCTCATGAAACAACATGAAGAGTTTTGTCACCTGATCTACATGTTGCAAGTTAAAACCGTGATCGCGATCACTAAAGTGAACACAGCAGCGCCGCCTATGTTTTGTTAACTATCACTCCCAACTAGTCCAACTGATTTGTTGCGAAACTCGACTAACTTTTTATCCAAAGATTGTGACCATGCGAAACGACGCTAAGTGATCCGTCGAATACCTTAATATTCAAACTAATGAACACGCTTTGCACATGAAGCCTTGATTAACTTTTTATTCAAAGGTTGTGAACATGCGAAACCACGCTTTGATCATAAATCACTTTCCTTCACATTTGAATAACTTATTTATTCAAACTTGTGAATGCTCGCTTTGCACATGAAATCTTGTCTAACTTTTTATTCACACTTGTAAACATGCGACACCACGCTTTGATCATGAAACCTCGAAGAACATTTTATTCAAACTTGTGAACATGCGAAACCACGCTTTGATCATGAAACATTGACTAATTATAACTCGACCACAGTATCAACCGATATATAAAACGTGTACTCACATATCGAGCGAAATCTTCGCTGTTGAGCAACAATTTCAACAATTTCCATGATGCTTTAATGACCTCCCATTTATAAACAATTGACTCGCCCGCCAGCGCATGCTGAAAGCTGGAACATTTTTCTCCTACACAAAATTAAATGTTTGTTGGAGTTAGCGGTTATTGAAGAGCGAGCAAATGTAGGTAACTGAATCATTCACAGTGAGCAAGATTCGCAAAATCAACTCTCTGCCCCCATGATCGCATGAATTGAAATGCATGTAACTCTACTTGTAGTTACGTTCAATGTTCAATATTACCTTTGTTCGATATGAATCGAGCAAACAATCAACGCATATCTTATGTTGGATGGTCCCATCGATTTGACAACAAACTGCAGAGCAGCAATCGTTACACATCAAATCCTCCGCCCTACCGCTATCTGGATTTGTTCTCAGTAGCCCTGAGTTCACCTCCTCAACCGCGTTGTGTAAATAGCCAACGGGTCAGCCTCCCACCAGTTGGGATTCTTAATAGTTTATGTTATATTTGAAATGTTTGTTTATTTATTTACAGTGTCCCCAATTAGCACATTAGTGCTAAATACATCGACACTTAAATAAAGTGATTATTATTATTATCATATTATTATTATACACGTTACCGGTTTCTTACACATAATATATGCCATACTAAACGCTTCAGTGATTCTCAAGAGAAACAAGACGTGTCTCGCGAGAAACGAGAAACGACTCGAGAGAAACGAGATTCGTCTCGCGAGAAATGAGACAAGAGGCGGTAACTTATTTTTGATCGGTACTGTAGCTCCAAAAGATGCCGCTTGGAAAACTGAGTTTTTTTGCATACGTTATTTCTCAAAAACGAAGCACAAATCAACAAAAACAATTACGCATCGATGCTTTTCATGTCAAAACAAGTCAGTCTGCCAATAATTAGCTCAATCCTGCAAAGAACAAAAATCGGCCCCAAAAAGCTATATATGCCCTTTTTGAACAAAAGCTTTCAATTAATTGTACCTTGTCTCTCAGCTTGTTGTTTTTTCTAGATTTCTCAGGTTTAGTTTACTGTAATTCTAATAGTGGTATTTCTTTGTTTCTGATCTATATTCAACAATTATTCACCAATGTTCACCGAGCCTAAGGCAAATAACTGTTTAAGTA